TTAATACAAGTTCAAATACCACTGGAAACAAAAAAGCTAAATTTTCACATAATGCACTACAAACTCTTAAAGGCACTGTTACATTAGGTTTACTATGCACACACAAACACACACACACACACACCCCCCATACTGTATGCACTTTGTCAGAATACCACACTGCTTCATAAAAGGTAGCTAAAGATTTAGAGGTTTAGATGTTCCTATGAGTGGCCCTTGTGTGGCTATTATGGGGATTTCATAAGAAAGAAAGCTTTTTGTCTACGTTTAAATGTATAGAATAGTTTTCTCTCTTACACGCTCACGCTGTACAGTGAACTCTCGCCAACGAATAATTTATCACCAGTGTTTTAATGTACTGTAAGAGTGGCTGTGTATCCTGTCCAGACAGTTTGGCAGGGATTGCAATGCCTGTCTCTCTCTCTCTTCTGTCTGTTCATTGTCATATCTGAATGTACAAATCTCAGTGTCTTAGTAAGCATGAATGGAAAGGTTTCGGGTTATAGACAGATATGGTAGCCACTGTTATCTTCACCTAAACGCTTGGTGCTTATGGGTCAAGTGACACGAGTGCACATGACACGAGTCAACCAAGCATCCAAACCCATGATAGTACTATTTTAGAGAAACACAACAGAAGGAAGGAAGCTCCCATCTTCAACTCAGGCCAAAGAAAGCCCCACAGTGTGTTAATATACATATCCTGTGTAACAGAGAGAAGCAGCTAGGGTTTCCAGGTAGTGATGTCATCTGTCACTGCCTGTTGTGCTGGTCCTGCTGCCTTCTGTATACCTCTGGTCCTTCTGTGAACGCTTACTGGGATTTCACAGTCCGCTCATGGCTCTTTAATCTGCGTTTTCTGCATATTTTAATTCATAGTAGGTAACATTCACTGTTACAGAACAAGGTGTAAGTAAAGCCTTGAATTCAGATGAGCTACATAGGATCTCTGAAGAAGAAAGTGCACACTGCAGACTGTAACTACACCACAGTTACAAATCACTGTAGTACGTGCCCACAGCACTGACTTTACTGGTGTTTCAGGAGCACACAGCAGACGTGAAGGACACCACAGAGACTAGAAAGAGCCCATCTCTGCTAAGCGTGAAGCTACAAAGCACCAGTGGATGTGTAAGAGTAGAGAAAAGAGATGAAGAAGCATCCTCTAAGCCAAAGCTGGGCCCAGCACAGGTCCGGCTGTCTCATACCCCCCTTAGACAGCTGCAGGTACTGCATCAAACCAAACGCCTGCACATACAGAGAGAATGTGAAGTTCCTTATTGGCTGTGTTACCTCTTAGGCAAAGATGGAAGCTGAAAATCAACAGGCAAGAAAAATAGCTGAAACATTACAGGACACAGAAAATGGTTTTATGAAGGTATGATTTTTTATTTTTTTTTGCAATTTTTACACTTCATTGTGTTACAAAAAAAGCTAACATTTGTAACTATCATGTTGGTGGAAATGGGTCTTCATTGAGGAGTTGGAAAGATTTCTGAGCCGATGGGATGAAACGGAGCTGAGAAGGAGGGAGCTGCTGCACAAGCACTGGACCGAGCGTGTGTGGTTTCCCCTCCAGAGCAGGGTGGAGGCACACGTGTCCAGCTGTGGCCCTGCGGAGGCCAAGAGGCGCCTCAGTTTGTACAGTGACTACCTCCATCATTGCAACACCAAGGTAATGCTAACACTCCCGATCAGTCTACAGTTAACACATCCCTATTTCACTGCTAGAAACAGCTTTTGTCGTGCTGTTGATGTTTCTCCAAAAAACAAACAGAACTCAGCATTGTGTATTTACCTGACTTCTAACCACTGTGACGTCTTTCATCGTCAGGGTTATGTGTTTCTTGATACCTATGATCTAAAGGACTATAACCCTTTTCTTCTTAACATCAAAAAGCCACACTTCTCTAAGGTGATTGTTTTATGGCTCAAGTATTTTAATTATTTAAGAAAAGACAAGTTGGGCATATTAAAAATAATCACAAGAGTGTCTCTGCTTAATCCCTAGCTCAGAACAAATGACACAAAGGACCCACTGTACCTTCAGTTACATCAAAGACCACCGGAAAAGAGAACAGCCTGTTCTTATGATGCAGGTATCTGGGTATTTTCCTTTTTTAACCAAAGGGAAATTTAAGAGCCGTGTGAATGCTCGCTTTGAGCTTTAGCTGAAATATCCAGTGGAATTTTCTCTTAAGTCTAGAGAGAATTAAACTGAGAACATGTTAGGTTTGAAAGAAGAAACAACACATTTCTCCTGTTAGAAATGAAAAGTTGTATGCCAGATATGATCTTTAACTTTGCTGGACTTTTTTTGACTCTTCATTTGTGCTACAGTAACAGTTTAATATTTTAGCTACATGTTAAAGAGTAGTTTGGTATTTATATTTATCCCATTATTGTCCTAATTAGATATCATGTTTTGGACAGATATGAGCCTTTTTGAGTTATAAACCAGCTTCTCTTCACTCCAGAATACACAAGGAGACACGTAGAGAAGCTACCTCAGAATGATCGTCACCTTACTGACTCCGTGATGCCTCAGGCTGACACACCTCTACTGACCTCATCCAATTATCTGGCCTCTCCTTCCACAAATACTCCAGTGAAGGATGAGACTGGGGGGAGGAAGTCCAGCAGGTACAAATCTACAATATTATGACAATGGATGCTTTATTTTCAGCCCATGCCCTACAGGATCCAAGTCTCTATTTGATATACAAGCGGCTTCATCACCACAGTCATTCAGTTTAAATAAGGACAATGTGAGAAGTAACATCATCCAAATGTGTCCCACTCAGGCTCGATACCATACCACATAATGGTAACGCCGCACCAGATGGAAGGTGCCATTGTACCGGCTCCTGCTTCTCCAGATGTGGATGTCGGGAATAGCCAGTAAGTTTATAGCAACTTGCCTACATCCAAATAAAATCCATATTTACCATAAATCTTCACCTCCGTTTGCTTCTTGCTACCTCACAGTTATCCCAGGCATCATACTTAGTTCATACAAAGTGTTATTGTGCAGGAAACCTAAGGAAACCAAGAATGTATTGAGTGAAACAGTAAACAGTTAGCCACAACAAAGACAAATGCTTACAGTATGTGCATTGTATTCACACCATTGTCAGGATTTAATGGCATACTTGGTTACACTATAGGGTTAACCTTTGACATTACATTGTACAGTAGTGGATAACATTAAGCAAAACAAGCACAATATGTGTGGCAGTTGAGGTCAATGTAAAACAGGGTATAAATGAGCACATCAGACACAATGTACTCATCCATTAATAGTAAAATAGTACCATATACAAGTTTGTGAATATGAATATTAGAAATCTCAACCATTAAAAGTTAAGGCATGTTTGTCAGATTGCATTTTCTAGTGACTATATTGGCAGTTGGATTTGCATTTTAGCTGGTTTGTCTGTAGCAAAAATTCATTTTTTTCACTATAAGATGGGAATTAGGGCACTTACATGAATCTGACTGGTGCAGGGCCAAACATATGCGCTGCTATAGATAGGTACTTTAAGGTTGTTTATGCAAAGTGTCTTGTCTTCACTGCTGTAAAATGAATTGTCTGCACCTGAGTTAATGTTGTGCTATGTTCCTCCTCACTTGGTTGACTCATAGAGCTGTAGGCCCAGTTTGACCCAGACCTCTCCAGTGGGGACTTCGTGCAGTAGTAGACGGCGGTTTGCAGCACCTTTGCTCTCCATCTCTTTCTTGATCGTTGCCACTGGAACTTCAGTGCGGCCCAGGAAATCTAAAGTGGCGGAAAACTCAATGTCTAATAAAGTTAGATAACCTAATATTTAGATTTGATATCTTGTATTGAGTAGCTATTGTATTTTTCAGTGTTTACCATGCAGGTCTATTTGACTTCATTTAAGCAAATGTAACTTGTATTAATGAGCAATTTTATCTTATTTATAGTTATGTTTAGCTAGACACAAGGAACATATCTGTTAAAAGAGCCCCAGTATGCTCTGATACTTGCTTTAAGGTCTGAAGTTTCAAGATGCAAACACCCAAATTCAAGTTTTAGTTTTTTGGCTTGCATCACAATTGTGAAAAAGGGACTGCACCACACACAAAACAGCAGTGGAAAGGGACATTTTTAAACTGTTAAACAAGACAAAAGTGGACAGCATGAAAACAATGATTATAAAAACTGACAAAAATGCCTGAACATCTCTGTGTGTCTTATCCACTAACCATCTGGTGAGAACTGGTCTTTCTCGAACACAGTGATACACAGGACGTCCTGGTAGAGGTCTTTGATAAAGAACTGGCAGTTGAAGTTCCACTTGGGGTTCAGAGTGTCGTTGATCGGCCGGGACGTGTAACACTGAGCCCCCATTGTCAGCTCACAGTACGGATTACTTTTACCTGGACAGAAATGATGGAGGTTTTTGAATTCACAAGACACGATTTATGTAAGCACATAATGTAACAGTAAAGGTTTGTATTGCATTACGAGGCCTCACCGTTGGGCTTACAGGCCTTGAGCTCCTGAGCCTCTATGACAGTTACCAGCAATCGGCCGATACCACTGGTCTTCAGGGAGCGTGCTAAACAAACAGAGCAATTAGATGTAGGCCTAAAACACACAACATGTTTTGCCAGATGAAATAGATCTTGTCGATGTGTGGGCAATATACACATATAGAGTAGGCGCTTATATCATGCAGAGCATATCACACTGCAAACTGCAAATGATGACTTTGCAAAAGTGGGCTGTGAATGTGCACTTTGGTACATGTAGAGGCAGATTTTTTCCATCACAGTAAACAAGTTTATATACAGCAGCTTATAAAACCAATATGGCAATTATGAGAAACATTATTGACTAAATCTTATCTCTACCAATAGTTGTTCCCTCTTTCACATTAGTATCATAAATATATATTTTTATAATGTGTCACATATATGTTAAAATTCGAGTTTAGCCTTTAATTTACAGGCTTTATTCTAAATAGAGAGATGTTATATGTTTACCTTGGTAAGCCTTCTCTCTCTTTTTCTTCTCTGTCTCTATGAAATGTTCAGATGCTGCTTTGATTTTCTGGACCCATGTTGTCCTGCCAAAACAGTAAACATATGAGTACTACAGACAAGGTTTATTAGGCCATTGCCGAGATGTCCACATGTGCATACGTACCTCTCGTTGTGGCATTTTCACTAAAACCTCATTTAGAAACAGTGGCTGGGGAAGATAATAAAACGATGAATGAATAGCATATCGACAGATGCCCAGAAAAGGAAAACATGACAAAGTATAGAATGAATACTGAAATGAAAACAAAGCAACACATTTCAATTGGCTATAAACAGAGGTCACCTAAAAGCGTAGTGCTTTAACACTGCTCTCGCTTACTGTTTTGTACATCTTCAGCTGAATGTTGGTCTTGGGGCTGAATAACTTTTCTGATCCTGACGAGGAGAAGGATTTGGCACTATGTGTGAGGAGGAGGAAATCATTGAAGAGGAAAGTCCATAGCTCCCTGCTGCTTTTGGTTTTGTACAGCCGGCCACTGTGGAGCAGCTTGCGAGGCCCGAGGCAATTAGTCAGCGAGTTGAAGACCAAGTGCTGCAAAAGAAATGGGCAGAAAGTTAGGCATGACCGAGGAGAGGAAAGGAAGAAAACTGTCAAGTACAGTAAAATGGTTCAATAAGAAGGCTCTCTGGCTTTTGCTATTGAATTCCTGCATTTGTTTTGATGAATTCTGATGTGTACTTGCAAATGAAATGTGTGTTTGGTGCAGAAAACAACAAATTACAAAGGTTTTATTTGCAATGGTTAACAGTAAAACACACATTCATACAAGTCATATCTGAATGTGTTTACCTCTATAGGTCCCTCACACTGGACGTGGCTCTGTATCCACTCCAACCGATCAGAGTTCTCCTTCTCTCTGACGCCCTCATTGACCTGAGAGCACAGCTCCTCAGCTCTCTCCAAGGCTTCTCTCAGAGGCCCATGGTCTACGTGGCCTTCTGGGGTGTTCTCTAGAATCTGCCCAGTAGGAAGATGAAAGGAGGGAGACACTATGAATATCAGAAAAAAAGAAAGTTTTGGGTGGGGAATACTTTTTCCACATACATTCTTTATGAGCAGTGGGTAGCGTGTGATCCTCTGCATGGGCTTGAGGAGGAAGCTGGACAGTGGCATTCCTTTACAGCGGTAGTTGGTGGCAATCTTCTGCTCAAGGGGACAGGCGAGAGAGATAAAGACTTCAATTTTATTGCATCTCAGAATCCACGTGTGCCCAGTTTACAATTCAAAAATGATTTTCTTTACGTCACTCCCATTACATGATTCCACAATATCTAAACTGCTCATCCTCAAAAGATTCATGTAGGGGCTGGAGCCAAACCCAGCCGACATTGGGCAAAGGGTGGGTGCACCCTGGACAGGTCATCAGTCTATCGCAGGGCTGACACACAGAGACAGACAACTACATTCACACCTTCTGGCAATTTAGTGTCACCAGCTAAGCTAACCTAACCTGCATTAGACTATGGAGGCGCAGCGGAATACCTGGAGAAAAGCATCCATCATGCATAACACATACCTTGAGGAAATCCTTGAAGTCGGGCTGGTTGTAGGTTTTGCTTTGCAGCAGGGCAGCGGCGTTGAGCTGGCAGGAGCAGAAGCGGACATACGGCTGCATGTGTGCAAGCTCCGAGGCCAACAGGTCTCCTATCAGCTGAACCGGCATGTTCTCTCCTTCTGTCTTTTTACGGGCATGTAGGGCCCTGGGTCACAGAGATGATGATGTAAAACACTTCAAAAAGATTTGTGTTACATCTTCATACATTTGTGCTAAGCCAGCTATAAAAATCAACCAGATGGAGCAACTCAAACAAAACCTTTACAAGCCTGCAGTGTCAGTGGGCTTGTAAAACTCTGAGTCAAGTCTGTTTTTGCAGAACATATTAAAGACACTAAACGGGATAATTAAAGATGGTGTCTGTGGTACCTACTTGAGTAGTTTGTTGTTAAACATAATCAGCTCCCTCCAGTTAGCAAAGATCACTCCCATCTCAGCTGCTGTCAAACGGCCTGACTCAGACATGGGCTTGTAAAACACCTGAGACACAAACATGTAGAGACAGAAAAGCAAATTAATAATATAAACGTGATCGGTGCTTTGAATTCCAGAGAAAGGCTGACCATTTGTAAATATGCCTGAAAGTCTGCAAATGTGTTCATCTATACCTCTAGTACCAGCTCCAGATCTTCCACATAGGTCTCCTCAGTCTGGATCAGCTCGTGGATGTAACCCTGCCTCTTCCTCTCCTGAGGGGTCATGGTGTCTAGTGTCATCAGGTCAGCACACCCTAGAGTGTGCACACAAGTGCAGACAAACACACATGCATGCATGCACAAACACCTTCTTGTCAATCACTGAAATGATGTCTGAGAGAATGTGAAGTAGTCTTGTCAAAAGCACTACACTCTTTTCCATATTAAAATCTGCCTTTATTATCAGTTCTGTGGGATTTTATTTACATGTAATGCACAGACAAAAGTGAGGCACATTGTAGTTGCAGTACATGAACTTAAGGAAGATACCAAGTAATGCTAACGCTAACAACATCGCTATCAAAGACACTGAATTAAAGAAAATGAAGCACCTTTCATGGCGGAGTGCTTACTCCAAATGATTGCATAGTGAACAAATTAAATAACTAATGCCTAAGCAAATGAGCAGTGGAAGACTCGGTTGATAGTTCAAGTCTTTGAGATTTAAACGTGGCCAAACACGGCCATACATTTCAGCATTGTGGTGTGATTTTCTCCCTATCTACCCTATCTACAGTTGCTTTGCTGTTATCTGCATGTTTTTGCTGGTGATATCACAGCTCACACAAGATGAAACTCAGTTTTAAATACTTGGAGGCATAAAGAAATGGAACAGTGCATAAGAAGTGAATAATCAAATCACAATCAGTTTTAATCCAGGCAATCTGCATTAGCAAGCAGCAATCAAGGTTAATGGTGATTTAAGCAACAGTGAGTCTTCACATTGGTCCAGTTTAGCAAGGCTTAACGTTGTTAGTGCAAGAATGAGTGACCCTGTCGAAAAGTCTTTATCATACTGATTCATAATCTTAATTTAGAAAACTAAATGACTTTAGTTCTGATGCCATTTACATATTACTTTCATTAACCAACTCTTTTGATCAATATTTCCATTTATCTTTAGCAAAACTACGCTTTCCATGCCTTTGTATCAAATGCAAAAGCCTTTGAAACTCATGTCTAGCTGCCTCTGCCTCACTCCCTTGGTTAGTTAGTTAATTAAGGAAACATCAAGGGAGCAGGGGAGGAGAGCGAGGGGGATAGGGGTAAGAAATTAATGCTTAGTAGAGAAAGACAGGATTGGAAACTTTATAGCAGAGCAGGTAAAAGTAGCAAAATAAATTAAAAAGGGATCAATAACAGAGGAGCACAGAACACCACTGTCCTAAACAAGTATGGTGGAAAGCGCAGAGCTCGGCTGTTCTTGCTGGCGGCTGGGCCTCCTGTTGCGACAGGGCAGTTTGGATTGGCTCAGACAGTAGGGGGTGAGGAAGAAGAGAGAAGAAGAAATAAGCAGGGGAGTACGAGGAGAGAGGAAAGCCAGCATTACTGTCCTATAGAGGAAAGAAAAAAACAGAGATGAAGTAGAGGAGCGGGAGGGGGAGGGGAGTGAAGATGAAGGAGAGACAGCAGACATTAATGTAGTTTTAATATGAATGCTGGATTCTTACATGCAGGTGCATTAATAATGTATTTTTGGAAATGTAAATGTTATCATATCGGCTGGAGCAGGATGATAATTTCCTACATTTTATTTCTCTGATGAAGTGCATTGGGGGACGGGGGGGTGGGTGTACAGGCCAGAGCATGATCATTAGAATTAAAATTTCATGGTGTCTTGTAACTGTGGCTTTTACAAGTTCATCCTAATTAAAACATCCAGTGTGTTCACTCTTGTTAACATAGATCTGCTGCTGTGAGAACACACAAGCTATGAATACAAATTTGAATGTGCACCTCCTGCTTAAAAATGGGTCCTTTTTAAAAATTCAAACCAGCAAATATACGCGAGTAGAATCACATCCTTCCTAACAGAGCAGTGATTAGCGTACTGTAGACACAGTCACACGGATTGTGGACAAATTAGACTAGCATAAAGCCTGGAAGTAGAGGGTAAAGCCAGCCTAGTGTGCTAGCATTGTTTCTTTTTAAAACCAACTACCTAAAGCTTACCGTCAGGCTCTCCATGCTCTAACATGGCACCCGAGTGAGTCAAGTCAACCAATCAGACCTTTCAGCAACAAGAGAGACCTTTGTTTCTATGGCTGATTAAAATGTTTTATCAGATCTGTTGTGACAACGGTGCATTTTTCTGACCAACATTACATTTACTCCAACTGCATGTGTTGACTTATTGATTTTCCTGTCTAACTGTAGAACAGAAAAACGGTCCTACACTGACAAATGTGCTGAAAGCTCAGCAGAAACTACCCCCCCCCCCCCCCCCCCCCAAAGTTTACTCACATTGTTGGCTGGGGTCTGATTCTGTGGTCATCTTGACATAATTGGTGGGCAACAGACCTGTGACCCCACCGGCTTCACCCTTCCACCAGTCAGGGTTGGTCTTGTCCAGGATGTTGATCAGCTGACCCTTGGAGAAGCTCAGCTCGTCGGGATTGGCAGCAGTGTAGTCGTACATTGCAATTACTTGGCACACTGAGGGATCAGGCACAAATGGTGCGTTATTAAAGACCCTGAAAGCTTTTTACTATGAGCAATAGAACTCTACATGAACTGGCTATTTTCAGCCAAAACGTCCATGAACAAATTTACTCCCACACAATCCTGATAAAGCAGATTAGCTTTTGTTGAGTGATGAGTTTCTGATGAATAATAAGTAGTATATAAAAATATTTTAATGAATACCATTTTGCTTGGATTCATCATGAATATTTAACATTATAAAGAAATTTGAAGGCATGTTTTCAGTGGCTTTAAGAAGTGACTACAAGCAAAACAAATGCTGATCACTAGGATTTCTGTTAACTCGGTACTGAATTTTTTTTAAAGTCATCAATCTATTGAAAAGACCATGACTTTGTTTTTATTGTTCCATACATTATTTCACATATTGTGTGCTATTTCAAAATCACAGACGCTTCAAATGATGAACCACAATAGTACAGAAATTACAAATTGACCATGGAAATAAATTTGATCAACAGATCCTGCTCACTGATTATGAACAGGACACGGTACTCAGAGTGTGTCACCATCACCTGGGAGAGGAGAGGGAGAGGATTTGCTGCTGGTAGGGCCCAGGAGTTTGACGTGAGAGGAATGAAACCAGCCTCTCTGCCGTTTCTTACCTCGAGCCTGGTGGGGAAAGGGGCCAGTGAGAGTAAATCAATCTCCTGCTCAATCAGTTCTGACTTCTAAATCAAGTGATGAATTGATTTTGTACGGCAGAGTCCTGAATCTCCAGAATCTCAGCTAACAACATTTTTCTGAATTGTGATGGGCCTTTAGAGGAAATTTATGTTAAGTGGTTTCATAAACTCAGCCAAAGCTTAGCTTCAAGTTGGCAGATTGACAAAAAGATTGCAAATCACTGTTCCATCCTACTTGATCAATCTTTATAAAATTTTACATTTGCACATTCATTACCAGGGCATTGTACAATGTGACAAAGCTGTGGTATCACTGAAAAATCCAATTTAAATTTAGACTGCATTGTCTGAACTGTTCACCCCTTACAGCTAACTTGATCTGCTGTCTCCATTCAATGTGTTATTTTATGCTGTAGGTGTATGATCTTATAGACAACCCTAGTATTACTCCCATAACCTCCAGTCCACCTCTTACAGGTACCAGCTCTTCATTAATCTGATAAGTCACCAGATACAAAAACATCTATATTATCATCTGTGTTTGAGTGGTAAAAGAAACCTATTTGTTACAGCACAAGGAAATGTTCCCAGTGTGGATATTAAAATATTCGCTCCGATTTAAGAGAACTACGATCATGCTTACGCAGTGCTGCAAGGTGCAAGGGACCTTGAACTGTAATCAGCATTTACAGCCAAACAAATCCCTGAAGCAAATCCTTGCTACTAAAATATTAACAGCTAATATCTTTTTACTCTTATTTTCTTAAAAAAAAAAAAAAAGAAAAAAGAATAATACAGTAACTCCATAACGATGGCTCTGATGACAGACCTGCAGCTCCCCAAGCCACCAGCCAGTGGAGTTCTTGGCCAGGACCACAATCAGTTGCCCTGGAGACAAACGCAGCTGATGTACTGTAGGGGGGTCGGTGGCGGTGACTGCCTGGGCAATCTCTGTTGAATAGCCCAGGATGAATTTAGATCAGGTAAATATCAAGAGCATAACAGATTTAATCTGCAATTTATGACAATCTGTGTGTGTGTGTGTGTGTAGTGTATGTGAGTTTCTGTATTCATCCTCACCTGGTTTTTTAGTTGGACCTCCAGGTTTTGACACCTAAATTAGTAAAGGTAGGAAAGTCATAATCAGTAAATAAATGAATCATGTATTTATTATGAAAACATGCTGCAAAACATGTGCTGATTACTTTTAACAGCTGATTAATTGCTTTGTAGAACAGCACATCAGAAAATAACAAATGGTCATCACAGGTTTCCAAAATCGCTTATTTTGTTTGAATAGCGCTTAAAAAAAAGACACTTTCTGTTATTATTTAGTGAATTACAGTATCTACCTAATATTTGCAGCACTAGTTAATATACAATTATTATGATAACTGATTATCTTATTACAAGGATTCAAAATTGTGGTCAGAAATGGCAAACATGCTGCAATGACAACTTTATAAATAACAAAATACAACTTGACTCACCTCTGGTTCCACAGGCCGAACATAGTTGGAGGGGAACACTCCTGTTTGGTCCCCTATGCATCCTCGCCACCACTCTCCTTCTCTCTCTGTCACCATGACAACATCCCCCTCAACAAATGTCAGGTCCCCAACTTCTGGGCTCTCATATGTGTACAAGGCCACATACTCTGGTTTGGATAAAATGGCGTAAGGTACAGTCATACATCTGACTGAATAATCTAACAATGACTCAGTTTTCACTCAGTTTTTTATAAAAATAAATTCAGAATCTGTTTTTCAACAAGTAAACTATCCTTACCCTCTAGCTGAATAGAGTCAGTGTCATCAGCACTAGAACGAGAACAACACAGTCAGTTACCGTAAGTCTTACGCTAAAGTTGTATATCAAAGAAATGTGCTGTTCTCATGAGTGTCTTCATACTCTGTGTTGCCACTTGTCTCCAAAGTGACATAGCTCTTGGGAAACCATCCCTGCGTCCCATTCAGCTGTCCCAACCACCAGTCATCCCTTTGCTGCAGCACACTGATGATGTCACCCTGCAAGAAGCTCAGCAGCGAGGTGATGACATCACCCACACCAGAGGACAAGCTGAGGTGAGTTTCTGAAGTGGCAGACCACGCGGAGATGGCACGGGCCAGCACAAGG